CCTCTCCCTGATCACCTTCCTCCCTCCCCTCCCCTCCTCTCTCTGTCTCTCCCTCCAATACTCACTCACTCACTTATTCAAGTGCTTGATCCGTTTTTGCCTCTTTCCTTTCTGCCCATTGCCCTCTTTTCCATCTCCCTGATCTTCCAGGCTTTCGTCATCTTCATTTCTTCAATGCCGTTCATCTCATCCTCACAATCTCTTCTTTCCTCCCTCGCTCCCTCCCCTTGCAATCGCTCCTGTCTGCCCCCTCCATTGAGCGCATGTCACGCAGGCCGAGCAGGAGGGAAAGGCTCTCCCGCCCTACGTCCCCTCCGTCAACCTCAGCGTCCGTGCCGCCGACAGCATCGCGTGCAGGAGCAGCGTACATGTAAGAGGAGAGGAGTCGAGTCCTGCTGCTGTTGACATGTGCTCGAGGCCGTGGTGGAGGAGGCGAAGAAGAAGTTGGTGAAGGGGAAGGAAGAGCGCTGAGGAGTCATCTGAAGAAGAGACAGTTGGGGAATAGAGATGCGATTGATAGGACGAGTAGACAGCAGATGCTGCGCGTCGAAGTTTCTTGTGGATCTTTTGCATTTCGATGAATTTTATCATCAAGCTTCATGGTACTTGACTTGTTCCCCTTGATGTTCGAAACCATCAGAGCTGTTTTGTAGCTTCTGTCTGCCATGAATTCAAGTCAGCGCTGAAAACACATACCTCTTCCTCCTCCACCACGTCAGCCTCCTCAGCTTCCCCTTCCATCTCATCACCTCCTCCTCCTCCCTTCCTCACCTGACGTTTCAGTGCCGACATAAAGTTTCGCTGCTTCGCCCATGGTGCAAGCTCGACAGCCTGTGATGATGTCAAGTGGAAAGTAAGAGGATAGGAAAACTAGGAAGGGAGGAGGAGGAGGAGGAGGAGGAGTGTGTGTGTGTGTGTGTGTGTGTGTGTGAGAGAGAGAGAGAGAGAGAGAGAGAGAGAGAGAGAGAGAGAGAGAGAGAGAGAGAGAGAGAGAAGAGAACAGCAGAGAACGAGATAGAAAACAAAGGGGCGGGGTAAAAGCGAGGAGACCCACGTTAGAATTCTTCGAGCTCCCTCCCAGCAGCATCTTTAGCACAGAGCTGCTCCCACTTTTCTTCTCTGCGGTCTGGAGGATCCGGTCAGAGAGAACGGAATTCTCCTCCATTCTCCGTCATTCTAACCTCTGCTTTCCCTGCCCCGCCCTTGTTTCCCTTGCTAGCGGCTGCAGGCTTCTCCTTTGCAGCGGGAACTGCCTTGCCCACAAGTGCGTTCTTCTTTGCAACGGCAGCAGCATGCACCTGCTCCTTCTGCTTGATAATGTTCTGCTCAACCTGCTCAGGAGTATGCTGGACAGCCTATAAACACGTCAGCTGTGCCTCTTCCACCTCAACGGCTACTGACCTGACTCCTTTGCGAGCTCCCACGATCAGAAGCTTGGAGCTTTCTCTGCAACATCGCCATCGTCATCGTCGTCGTCATCGTCATCGTCATCGTCATCGCCATCGTCATCGTCATCGTCATCGTCTCCGTCATACCTGTCGAGCAGCTTCTTGTCTCTTTGCCGACTCCTCTGCAAGATTGTGCGCTGACGATCCTTCACCTGCAAAATCAGACAAGTTAGCATCGGCCCGCCAAGGTAAAACAATGTGAAAGAATAGGAGAACGCCGGCTGAGTCGAACCTGCAAACTCCTGGGATCTTTCTTGCAACAGCTTCTTGGCCGCTTCTTCTGCCTTCAACTAGGAGCAATACACGTGAAAACAAATTCCCTGCTTCTCCCTCCTCTACCACCCCCTTGAATCTGCTTCCCCCAACCGTTTCGAGTGTATTGCATCAACTTACCTCCTCCTCCTTCTCCTTTTCTTCGTACGACTTCTCCTTGCTCTGGCTAGAGTCGTGCAGGCTCTTGAGCTGTTGCTGTACCTCAAGTCAGCTCACTATCCTCTACTTTTTCAATCCTAGCAATCAAAAGGGGAAAGAAAGAAAACAGAGGAGAGGAAAGGGAAGGAGAAACAACCTGGTAAACTCGAAGGTTTCTCTCGTCCTCCTGCGCCATCTTTTTCTCTCTCGACTCTGAGTGCTACAAACACACAAGTCAGGAGTTCTATCACTTTCCCCTAGCCTCTCCATCGGTATGCTCCCGTCCAAACTTCTTCTCTTGCTACACCTCCCCATCCCTTGCCCTCACCCAATGGGATAGCATTCAACCTGAAGTCTCAACATCGTATGTCGGATCATCGCCAGCATCTTTGTGCCTTCTTGATTGAGATTCGCTACATAGAGGGGGTCCGCCTTGCCGGACTCCTTCATGTTCAGTAGGAGGTTGTGCCACTTTGCCATCTCCTGCATCGATAGCGTTACAAAGAAATTTCAGTCTGTCGGAAGAAGGAGGCAGCGGGCGGGGGTATGCGGAGGAAGACAACATACATCCATCTCCTCCTGCGCAGCTTGAGCCTCCACTTCTCCATAGTCCGCGTATGCCATGTCAGTGTCATTGGCGATCTTATGCACAAGGCCTGAGTTGATGATGGCAGAAGATTTGGCAAGGGTGTCTATCAAGCTCTTCTTCTCGCTGTTCAACAAAAACTTCTTCTTCTTCTCTTTCAGCTTCAAGTTGTACTTGGTGAAGTTGAGATACTCCTGCCGGGCGACCTTTGCTTCCTTGTGCGCTTCTCGCTCCTCCAAGATCTTGTTATGGAGCTCCTTCAGAGCCTCTCGGAACATCTTCTGCCTGCGCAACCATTCTTCATCAGGCATCAGAACTTTCGCATCAACATGTTTACCTGTCCTGATCCATCTGAGCAGCCTTCTGCAACTTGGCGTTCGCATCCGACCAACCATTCTTCTCCCACCACTGCAAAGCAACATCAGCAGAAGATTCAATCATCTCATCATCGAGTTCGACCTCCACCATGTCGTTTCTGCCATGGCATAGCGACTTGAACATGTGTCCGCATCCGTCCCAGTAGCCCCCTTGCTTGTCCCAGTTGTCGCCGTACTCCGACTTGAGATAGTCATGACCCCAGTGCAGCCTCGTCATTGGGAGCTGTGTTGTTCTTGCTAGCCGGACACGAGTCGCTGTGTGTGTGAGAGAGAGAGGAAGATGAATGATCGTGAGGAGGGGGTGAGATGGAGGAAGGTACATCAGATCGAGGACACGGAAGCCCATCACCTCCTCTTCACCTGCAAGCTGCATGTTGCGAGCAGCATTCTCCTCCTCCAGCTCCAGCATCTTGTCGTTGGATATCTCCTTCTTGGACATGTCAAGGAACCTCCTCATCAGACTCGCCTTCCTCTCCCTCTCGGCAGCATCCGAGCCCGACAGAAACACAAGGCAGCCTGCCAGAACGACAGGCAGGAAACTTCTGCGAGCACATATTATGCCTGAAGCACAGGTACTGCAGCCCTGATGCTTTCATCAACCCGCCTCCTCCTCCACTTCCCTCCTGTCTCTCCTCCCTCATACAGGTCTTGTCTGATGTGCACATTCTTCCTCCTCCCGCCCTTCTGTCTCCCTCCTCAACTCGGAACTTGGCGCACCTGCTTCCTGCCATGGCCGCCGGAAATAGAGGAAACAAATATGTCAAAGTGTACCCTACCCCCCTAAACGTGACCATTTGATGGGAAACGATGCGGGTGATCATGACATCATATTTCATTCAGTTCATTCGCCAGGTACCCCCTTGAACACCCCACCCCACCCCACCCCACCCCACCCCACCCCACCCCAAATCTAAATTCTTTACGACCGAACAAGCATTTGCTCCATGGCCATGGCAGCAAAGAGGTAGAGGAAGGTGAGGGGCAGGAGCAGGATGAGTCGGATCAAGGGCGAGGACAAGGAGCAAGGGAGGGTAGCGGAGACATGGGCGGAGGTGCGATGGCAGCAGAAGCTTGCTTCTTCCTTCTCCCAGTGGAGCAAACGCGCGAAGCTTCTCAGCCTACTTCTTCCCTCGCTTCCTCGACATCAGAGCAGGCAGATTCTGCTGGGAGCTGTAAGAAAATGGTTCTTGATAGTTGAGATGATGAGAAGGAGGCGAAAGGTTGCTGACGGCCGGGCGGTGAGGTCGAACAGAGGCTGCCTTGTGCTGGCGCTGGAAAAATGGTGGAACGAATGCTGCAGGGAAAGGGCGGTGGAAGAAGCGGTCATGAGGAGATCGGAGAGAACTTTGCAATCAGTTATCCTCTCATGGGCTCAAATTTTAAACCTACAGAGAGCAGGAAGGGCACACCAGGACGTGGCAGCTAAATTTCTTCTTCACAAGTGCATGTTGAGGTACTTGCGCGCATGGAGTGCAGGGTGCAACCGGACGAGGGATGCGAGAAAGAACGTTGAGAGAACTAGAGAGAGAGATCTCACTCGCGCTGTTGTGCTGCACTTTTTCTCGTGGAGGTTCTATCTGCGGGAGATAAGGATGATGCGGAATTTGCTGCATACAAAAGACAAGTCAGCTCCCGATAGACTGGCTCGTTGTTTCCATCATTGGCATGCCTTGACGACTCTATTCAAGTTGCATTCACACGCTCATCAGGTTTTTGTGAGAAAGACCCGGACACGTTGCTGCAGGAAACATCTCACAGCGTGGAGAATGGAAGCATTCAAACAACAGCAGCATCATGAGAAGTTTGGACAGCACTTGGTCCGCCAGGAGACAAAACTTGGTAATGCATTGCTCTGCACATGGAGGTCGTTATGCTCTGCGAGAAGGTATACGCATCAGCTTGTACAGGCTTTCTGTAGAGCGAGAGATTCCAGGACGCTGGACCGCGTGCTAATAGGGTGGTGGAGCCTTGTGGAGGTTAAGCGATCTAACACACGTCCTGACAAGTTATATGAAGATCCTGCAAGCTGTTGTCTCCTTGTTTTTCTAAATTGGAAGGTGATATTGGATAGAGGACGGAGATCAGAGGCATTGTATGATAATCTTACAAGAGTCGCGCGTTCAAAGTCTTGTAAAGATACCTTTACCTTATGGAGTTCGTTGTCCAGAAATCGAAGAGAAATGACGAAACTGATGGACGTGAAGAGCAGAGTCAACGTTCAACTAAACTTGCACAAGCATGTAGATTCCTGGAAGCAGATCACGATGATGAAGAGACTCTCCGAACGACTTTTGGATGTTCACCTCAGCAAGCAAATAAGAGTTTCATCTGTCGAGCTGGTCGAGGATGCGTTCAAGCGATGGCTTAGCGAGAGCCAAGCGAGGATGAACTCGCTCCAGCTTCATCGACCATGGTAGCTAAAATCTACTGTAATAGTGTATGATGAGATAGCGTGATCCTTTCTATGTGCTGGAAAGCGACCGCATGGATGACCTTACATGATCGCAAATTTTGTTGACTTGGATCATTCTGACACAAATTGCAGGATGCAAGCAGAAATCATCAAACGTTGGTGGACGAAAGTAGAAGATTTGAAGCGAGTTCAAGTCAGGAGAATGATTTTTCAGCTATTGCTGTGGAGGAGGAAGGCAAAAATACTCCGTGCAGAGCGGGACAGATGCTGTGATGAAGAGGTCCAGAAGCGCCTGTACGCCCTCAAATCGACCTGTTTTCGGGAGTGGACTCGTCACAACTGCTTTGTCAAGCTCATTTCAAGAGTCTATATGAAGATGTCTGGACTCGTTCTTGGGAATCTCTTACTCGTATCTTTCACTGCATGGCATTCGTTCAGGACAAGCACCGGAGATAAACCCTGTCTGTTTGCAAGGAATGCACAGCGATATGTTGATATCCAAGGTCAACTTGCTTCTGTTGCATGTCGACTCTGCCAGAAGTGCTTTCAGCGATGGTCGGTTCTTCTCTTGTTGACCTGCAAGAACACCCGTGCAGAGGCAATCGTGCTTCGAAGGACCCGACGGGTCTCTGCTGTCATACTCTTGAGCTTGCGACAATTTTTGAACCACAAGAAGAGGAGAAAACAGATGAAGGCAAGCAACTCCCTGACTCGTTCTTCTTTCTCTCTAGTCACTAGTTCATATCTTGAACTCTTTCTGACAACATCGCAGGTCATCCTTCAGCGCTCGACCGAGCAACACATTCTCTCTTCGACGTTCTTCTCTTATCGTGAGTTTGTGGACACGCAGATGCGAATCTTCTTTCAATCCTGCCTCAACTTCTTCCCTTCCAGCAGTCAACCCAGGACGCCCCGAGAGGTGCACTAGAGATGTTTGTTGTAAGGGCGATGGGCTTTCATCTTCAACATTGCACTCCTTATCTCTGTTGTCTTTGTACGCATCATACCTCTGCTGCCAAGTGACAGTCTTTCCTTGTCTGCTGCAGGTAAATCAGCTGCTTGAAGGCATTAATGTTGCGTTCCGAGGTATCCCCGAAGAGAGTCCAGGTAGCGCCTGCCGCATTCGTCCTTGTCGATCCAAGCTGCTCTTCCTCCCCGTGAAACGTGTATCCTCCGTGCTCCTGTCATGCTTCACCCGTGTCCTGCAGCCGTCACCACCTGCTCTCTCCTTCATCCTGTCCCTCATGCCTTCGCAGAGAAAGTAGCTCTGCACAAGTGCGAGAAGGAGCTTGCCCTCCTTAAGGCACAATGCCAGATCCTTCGCTCGCAGCAGGGCAAGGAGAAGAAGCCAACGACGGGATGAGCGCTGCTGCTGTGTTTGCCCAGTCTCACACGATACAGATGGAAGAGATGATCTGTTCAGGATCTCTGAGCGAGCAAGTGAATGCATGCATGGCTCCGTTCCACCCTGTCATCAAGATCTGATCTTGGCTCTGCGATTCCATAGCACGAGTAGACTCCTCTAGCAAGCTCATCCTCTCAGGGCATGCAACGCCAGCCTGCTGCGGTGCATTCGCTGCGTTTCGGCCCGCACGAAAGCATGAAGTTCGCCATGGACTAGAAGACTTTGTTGACCGTGAAAGAGAAAGACGAGGATAAGCCTACAAACCCGCCTCATCGCCTAGTTTTACTCATCAATAAATTCCCTTTTGTTGACTGAAAAAGCAAGAGAAAGCAGGATCAACGAGTCCGCCCCAGATAGACAAGAGAGGTACCGTGAGGCAGCACTTTTGAAACGAACTTTACTCAAAGTTAAGTGAAAGATCAGTACGAGGACAATCAGCACTACAGGGTTATTAGAGGACTCAGTACTGATGGTGTCTCAGTGGTATTCTTAGTGGTTACTGGTATGAGTCTTAGTGGTAGTCTTAGTGGGAGTCCTAGTGGTGTCTTAGTAGTATTAAAAAAGGTGTAAAACCAATCAGGAGGTATGGTTCTTACTGTGGTATGGTTCTTAGTGGTATATTGGTATCCTAGTGGTATCTTTCTAGGACCAGTGAGGTTACTAGGTAGTATATTTCTAGGGCCATTTCTAGGACCAGTCGAGATACACATCTTTCTAGGACCATTTCTAGGACCTGTCAAGATACACATCTTTCTAGGACCATTTCTAGGACCAGTCGAGATACACATCTTTCTAGGACCATTTCTAGGACCTGTCAAGATACACATCTTTCTAGGACCATTTCTAGGACCAGTCAAGACAATTAAATACATGTATAAAACAAGACCACCCCTGCTACCCCTACCACACCCCCCAGCTACTACCACCCTTCCACACTGATGTAGTAAATTACTCAGCGACAGCCATGGCGCATGCAACACACCACACTCTCCTCCTCCTCTCTGCCCTTCAAGTCCTCTCTGTCCATGGCAGCTCCTCTATAGACTGCGGAGGATGCACCTTCACCGTCTCAGACGATGGGGTCCTGTCAAGAACAGGAAGCTGCCAGACTGACTGCACTTACTTGTACCTCGGAGTATCCGGCTTGAAGAACATCTCGGCGGGAGCGTTCGACGACATGCCTAGCCTGACAACCCTTTACATCGATGCGAGCGCGTTGACGCTTGTGTTCCAAGATGACATCAGCGTCTTTGACAACCTCACGTATCTTGAGGTCTCAGACGACCTGCCACAAGGGAATGTCACTAAGCTTCCTGAAGGAGTGTTCAGCCGCATGTCGAAGCTGAGTGAGATAAGGTTGGGCAATGTGGACAGCTCATTTCTGTATAGCGACATGTTCACGGGGCTATCGGGCCTACATAAACTTTATATGTATTGGAGCTATCTTACAAGTCTTCCATTGGGCGTGTTCAATGGGCTTTCAAGCTTGCAGACCCTTGAACTTTCCAACAATCGGTTGTCGAGCCTTTCCGAGGGAGTCTTCAGTGGGCTGTCAGCCTTGCAATTTCTCCAACTGCATCACAATGCACTTCTGAACTTACCCTCAAACGTGTTTGATGGGCTATCATCCTTGCAACAACTTTATGTCCACAACAATGTGCTGTCGACCCTTGGTCCGAACACCTTCAAAGGACTAGCATCCTTGCAGAATCTTGATCTCTCCTACAACCAGCTGTCTACCCTTCCTCCCGACTCATTCAACGGATCATCAAGCTTGCAGACCCTCAGTCTGTTTTCCAACAAGATAACGAATATTTCTTCGGATGCCTTTCGCGGTCTGCCGGGTTTGAAGTATCTTGGCCTGTTTGACAACCAGCTATCGAGCCTCTCCGAGGGTGTATTCAGTGGGCTGTCAGGCTTGCAGATCCTGAGTCTTTACAACAATCGAGTGACGAGCCTTCCTTCGAACGCGTTCTCCGGACTGTCTGTCTTGCAAGAACTTGACCTGAACAACAATCAAATTTCAGATATCTCTTTAAGCGCTTTCAACGGGCTGTCAGGCTTGAAAACGCTAAACCTGAACAGTAATCAGCTGTCCAGCCTTCCTTCGAACGCGTTCTTTGGACTCTCTGCCTTGCAGCAACTTCAACTGGACGGAAATAGAATATCAAGCATCTCCATGGACGCGTTCGATGGCTTGTCAGCCTTGGAAGAGCTTCATATGAGCTTCAACCAACTACAAACCGTTCTTTCGAGCAATTTCAATGGACTATCTGCCTTGAAATTGCTTGATATTCAAAACAATCAAATATCAAGCATTTCCTCGGGGGCGTTCAACGGGCTGACAGCATTGACTTCCCTCAGTTTGAACGGTAACAAGCTGACCAGCATCCCAGCAGGTGTCTTTGACGGCCTCCAATACCTTGAATCTCTCATCCTCTCTAGCAACCAGCTGGAATGCATCTCCTCCAACGCCTTCGCTTCTCTTCTCTTCCTCAAGTCTTTGAGTATCTACGGCAACAGCCTCCCTTGCGTCAACTCTACCTGGCCACTCGACAGCTTTCCAGGCTGGACCCCTCCCCCCCCTTGCGTCAGTGATACCGTCTGCACCGACTCTGGTTCAGTCTCCAACGCGTCATTGGCATTCAACGCTTCTTCTCCTTCCAATACCTCTTCTTCTTCTCCTTCCTCGCCCTCCTCCTGCTCCCTCACCGCATCCTGGCCTACAATCATCGCCAGCACCTTGCTCGACCCCTCCGACCAGCCCTCGCCCTACATCACCGGTACCCCTCCTCCCCCGCATCGCCTCACGCTCTGACCTCACCCCGCGGGTCGCAGGAGGCCTCGGCAAGCTCATGACCGACGACGAGGAGGTGTGGGTCTGCCAGTACGGCCACGCCTGCGCGCAGGTACACGTCTGCGCATGAGACGCGTCGAGGAGCGAGCTGACGAGCTGACGCTTGACGCGCGGCAGGGGAGCGGGGCGGGGGCGACGGACGCGTACTGCTTCATCTACAACGAGACGAGGTGAGAGAGGAGGTGGAGTATGGGGGTGGAGAAGGAGGAGAGGCGGGGAGGCGAGAGGCTGACGGGGGGACGCAGCGAGACGTTTCGGGCGTGGGGGCTGGCGTCAGAGCTGGGGTCACTGCTGGAGGACTAACGGACGAAGACTGGAACTGAGATGGACTTCCACGTGATGTTGAGGAGATTGGGGCAACCACTGCTTCCTCTTCGGTGTCTGTTGCCCGACTAGTCCATGGCCGAGCCTGCCTGCTCTTGTGATAAATGAACCCACGGCAGGCGAGTCTGGCTGTTGCAAACCCTTCAGTCCAGTGGTTGTGTAGTGTACTTTGAGTAAACGCTGACAGTGTGTTGGTTGCGATCATACTGAGGCAGCTGTCAGAAACGAGTGTGCCGCGGGTGCTGCTGGCCTTTCCGCCGCACCGTGAGCCCGGCGGTCACCGTAGCAACCCCTGCAGATATATAAGTTGACCTGCAGCAGTATCGGGGCTCTACTTATTGATCATAAGAAGCGACAGAGACCCCAGCTACCTGTCCGTTATCACTATTACCCTACCCCTGCGGCCTCTGAGTGGATACTCGAAATCGTCTGCCCTCAGGGCCTGGCCCCCTGCCGCGCCGCACTGAGATCTTCCCGGGCCAATGCCGGTCAGCCCGGCCAGTCAAACACAACTTGAGCAGGATGCAATTATCTGATCGGCATCTTTATCCTCTGGGATCTCCGGGGATCCAGCCTCTGCTGTTATGAACGCACTCTCAAGAACAGGAAGCTGCCAGACTGACTGCAGTACCTTGTATTTCGGAGTATCCGGCTTGAAGAACATCTCGGCAGGAGCGTTCGACGACATGCCGGGCCTGACCGAACTTTATCTCAACACAAATCAGCTTACTAGCCTGCCTGCAGGAGTCTTCAATGGACTCTCAAACTTACATTACTTGTGGATCTCCGATAATGGACTTGATGTTCTCGCTGCTGGAGTGTTTACAGGGCTCTCAAACTTGATCCAACTTGGAATCGACGCAAATGCGCTGGCCTTGCTGTTTCGAGATGATATCTCTGTGCTCAGGAATCTGACTGAATTGTATGTCAATAACTATCGTGACCCGGCTCTGCAGCTACCCAAGGGGGTGTTCAGCCAGATGGCAGGTCTGGTATCCATCGTGTTCACGAACATAAACGATGCATTTATGTTCGAGGATATGTTCGATGGCCTTTCCAGCTTAGAGGAGCTGTACCTTTCATACAATCAGTTGACTAGTCTACCACTGGGAGTCTTCAACGGGTTGTCAAAGCTAGTTACCCTTACCCTCTCTAATAATCATGTCAAAGAATTACCTGCTGGAGTCTTCAACGGATTGTCAAGCTTGAAGTTTTTAAATCTAGGCCATAATGAGCTTGAAAGCCTGCCATTAAATTTGTTTGACGGGTTGACGAGCCTAGAACAAGTTACTCTGGAATGGAACCAGCTGACAACAATTCCTGATCATATTTTTCAAGATCTCTCGAGCTTGAAGGTTCTAAACCTGTTGTCAAACCCGTTGAGCAGCCTTCTTCCAGGCGTGTTCAGTGGGCTCTCAAGCTTGTCCGAGCTAACAATTGATGCAAGCTCTCTGACCTTGCTGTTCCAAGAGGATATTTCTGTACTCAGCAACTTGACAGTGTTGTCTATTTATAACAATTTGCAAGCAGTGCAGCAGCTACCTAATGGAGTGTTTAACCAGATGCCAGGGCTCAAGCATTTGATGATGTCCGGCAATGTTGAGTTGAAACTGCAGACAAACATGTTCAGCCGCCTTTCCAGTTTAAATTATCTCTCCCTCTCACACAACAATCAGCTGACTAGTCTGCCTCTCGGAGTCTTCAACGGGCTGTCAAAACTATATTTCCTTGAACTCGCCAACAATCGAATCACAGAACTTCCACCTGGAATCTTCACAAGCACCCTATCAACCTTGGAGAGTCTGAGTCTCAATAGCAATCGGCTGACCAGCATCTCCGCGGGTGTCTTCGACGGCCTCCAAAGCCTCAAGTCCCTCAATCTCGGCGACAACAAGCTGGAATGCATCTCCTCTGACGCCTTCGCTTCTCTTCCCTCCCTCTGGTCGTTGAATGTCTACGGCAACAGCCTGATCACCTGCTACAACCCTTCCTGGCCCGGCGGCAGCATGCCACATCCAGGGCTTCCAACATGTGTCAATGAGACCGTCTGCCCTGGCTCTTCTTCTTCCAACGCTTCTTCTCCTTCCAATTCCTCTTTTCCTCCCCCACCTTCGCCTGCCTCCTGCTCCCTCACCGCATCCTGGCCCTCCATCGCCGGCACCTTGCTCGACCCCTCCGACCAGCCCTCGCCATACATCACCGGTACCCCTCCTCCCCCGCATCGCCTCACGCTCTGACCTCACCCCGCGGGTCGCAGGAGGCCTCGGCAAGCTCATGACCGACGACGAGGAGGTGTGGGTCTGCCAGTACGGCCACGCCTGCGCGCAGGTACACGTCTGCGCATGAGACGCGTCGAGGAGCAAGCTGACGCGCTGACGCTGACATGCTGCAGGGGAGCGGGGCGGGGGCGACGGACGCGTACTGCTTCATCTACAACGAGACGAGGTGAGGGAGGAGGTCGAGGAAGAGGGGGAGGAGAAGGAAGAGAGGCGGGGAGGCGAGAGGCTGACGGGGGGACGCAGCGAGACGTTTCGGGCATGGGGGCTGGCGTCAGAGCTGGGGATGCACCGAAAGATCAAACCGAGCTAGGAGACTTACTCTATGAGTCAAGGGGCAAGAAACTGCGAGGACTGTCCGGGGGTAGAGGGTTGCCGGCAGTGCTAGATGCCGAGACAGCTGAACTAAGAAGAGTAAACGACATTACCCGATGAGACTTGAGGGAGGCTAGACCGCCTCCTCCATGCCCGACAGCCTCTCGAGGCGGCAGGAGAGAAACTCTCGCAAGAGAACCTGCACCGAGAGCATGACGATGATGATAGACGGATGGGGATGATGTGAGATTGATGATGATGGAGAGGAGTGATATGACCAGATCGATGTGAGAACTATGACTGTTTTGGTGGGATTGGTGATCAAACAGAGCAACAAGTAGGAGATCCAAGGAGATGATACATAAACACAAGGAGAAAAACATGCATGGTGCTCACAAATCATGGCGGCAATGTAACAAATGATGATGGTGGTGACGTTTGTGTGCGTGAGACTTACCGTGGCGTATGAGTTGGACGGAAGGACGAAGGAGACGCGAGCAGCAAGAAAGGCTCCCCCAGCATCCTCGGCTCTGTGCACCAGCAAGGAGGGAGAGGTTTCAATCTGCGACAAGCTTTGAGGACAAGGGCAACAGATCAGCAAGCTCAGCACAAGCACCAGCAACAAGAGCAGCAGCTGCCGCAGCTCAAAAGAAACAAGAGAACAACACCCAATAGATCAGAGACTATCAGCAAGACCGATCTCAGGCTCTACTTCTCTCGACCCTCCTCGCCTCTATTTCTTTTCCTCCTCTCCTCCTCTCCTCCTCTCACCTTGTCCGGCGCTCTCGAGCACAAGACGCTTGTCAGGTGACGATCGTCCTTGTAGCTCATCAGCTCCATCGAAAAGTTCCTCGGGATCGTGATCAAGCTCCGTAGAGCAATCCTCCTGTTTCCCTGCTCCCATCCGCCTCCCCGCCTTTCCCCGAGCCTCCCCTCGTCTCCCCTGCACTCCTCCTGCTCTCTTCCTCCTTCGTTCTCCTCCCAGTCCGTCTGACCAGGTCGACGAACAACCCCCCCAGCAGGAAGTGACTCGAGACAGAACACCCGCGACGCTCCTCCCTCCTCCTCCTCCAAATACTTCTCGACCTCCTGCCGCACCTGCTTTTCGTCACTGCAAGGCAGACGCACGCAACCAGACCTGATGGGAGGGGAAGGGGCAGGGACAGTGAGCGTAGGGGATGGGAATGACGACCTGGAGACATTCTCTCGTCAGGGCGATGAGTTCCTGGAGACGGGAGGGGGGGTTGAAGGAGCAGGGAGGTGGAGAAGTGACGAGAGGCAAAGAGAGCAAACGAATGAGGAAGAGGAGGAGGACGAGGAGAAGGAGGAGGAGGAGGAGGAGGAGGAGAACATGGGGAAGGAAAGGATCAAGCAGGAAGAAAAGGAATTGCGTTCCAAGGAGACACAACAAAATGTTTTTGTCAACAAACTCAGTACCCCCATCAAAGGAACATTCACATCGATCGTCACACTGACTAACGGCAGCGAGTGTGAAAGCAAGACAAACATAGACATCACAAGTGAAGGACTCAAGCATGTCTGACGCGCATACCTGCGAAATGCTGTACCTCTTAAGCTTGACATCGCCCTCTGTTGCATGGAACTGACACCCCAATCAGCAGAACACAATTGAGCCCCTCGCAATTGCTTTGATCTCATGCTGCCATCGCTACTCTCTTAACTTCTTCTCGGCGTCTATCGGTACTCACATCCCAACAGAAAAAGAAATCCGCAACCTGAACAATCTTCTCCTCCTCCTCATCTCAGCCATCAGCATCATCTTCATCCTCCTCATCATCTCCATCCTCGTTTACATGAGCTACACCATAACCATTTACATGAGCTCCACCATAACAATCTCTCTTAGAGCGGCGACAAAAGTCATCGCAACAGGCAGCACCAGGTATTGATTCTTTCTCCCCATGTTTCGCTTCTGCGTGTATCCCCGAGCATCCGTCAGCAAGACCAGGTCTCCCGCTGCGACTTCTTTGGAGCCGTAGAGCTCGATCTGCAACAGAGCCAAGTTAAGCCTTAATGACCTGGGAACTTGAGTCTTGATGATGTCAGCGTCCGTAATCGAGATGGTACGGGAATGCTCATTAGAACGTTAAAGGTTCTCCCTCCCGCCCCTCGCTGCAGTCCTACAGTCTCACCCATCCCTCTAGTACCTCTACAATCGTCTCTTTCCTTATGAACAACTTCTGGTTTACCCGCTCAGGATCTACTCTACCGTAAAACAGCCCGCTACCGTCTCTCTGTATCTCTCAAGCAACGAATCTCTTCCCGATTTGCTTCTCACCCGTCGCGTCGCTGCCATGTTCCATAACAAGCTCTCAAAGCTTGACGCATACCTGCATGACCACGTCAGCTCCTCCCCACCTCTCGCGTCCTCCTACATGTTCCTGTTGCTCAGACTGAAGATCGCTTCCTTGTGACCGCCTCCTTTCGCAAGCTGCTCGTCCCCAGCAGAACCGAGCACCAATGACCCATAAGAGCACATCAGAGACCAGACACTCTCTTCTTCCTTTCACGTCGTCTACTAGACCTCATCTCTCGTCTCCCTCCTCTTCTCTCTGCTCCCTTGCTCTTCACCTCTCGCAAGATCGCAGTCTCGCTCTTTGCAAACGGAGGCATCCTCGAGAGCGCAATGCCGGCGTTTCCATTCTCTTTGTACTTAACCTTGAAGGGATCATGGAAGTATCAGCTTCTCCCGTAAGCGCTCTGGATCAGACCTTGGCCCTCCTCTCCCCAGGATCTTTCGCTGTTGCTGGATCCATGATGACCTGGACGGGTCGAGTCAGCGATCACTCAAGTACAGTCATCATCATCTCCTCCTGCTCCTGCTCCTCTACCTTTTCCACCCCCCCCCCCAACCACCACCACCTCCTCCTCCCTCTCTACCACCACCACCAGCAGCCTCATCTTCATCACCACCATCGCACGGGTACTGCATAGCAGCGTTACCTCCACTGCCTTCTCCCACTCTCGTAAGATGATCCATTTCCCGACCTCAGCCTGTCCCGCCCCCCACAAGCATCAAGATCCTCCCTCCCATCTTAGAACATGGGCTGACCGAAGGGACGGACCCAGTTCCGAAACGCTGGAGGCCAAAGTAGTTGATGAAACCCTAGACAGCAAGCAGCACACAGCATTCAGATGTAGATGTAGGGATTCAGATCTCGTTGGGTATCAAGTCCCTGGTTCATCACCTTGCTCTTCATCCTTCTAGCTTGCTTCTGCATTTTATCTTCCCCTAGCCCTTTGTCATATATGAGTCCACTACCTTCCGCATGCAAACTGACCACCCTGCCTTGAGCCCAAACAACAATTTTAAAACCACGACTACCCACCCTCTAACCCACTTAACCCCCATTGCACCTCGGCTGGACATCGACTCTCCGAAACATGCGGGAGTGCGCACATAAGAAAAAAATATGGAAAATGGGAGCGAAGGATCAGAGAACGGGGGAGAGAAGGAGTCATAGGTGGAGGAAGAGGTCAGGCAGTAGCCCGAGCCAGCATATTCAGAGAGTTCATGAATCGCGTTGTGATGTAACATACTCCAGAAATACCTTAAGGAACGCGCCATGCATGATCATGCATTGACGCACCATCTATCGATGGCCGCGATAACACGAGTACAGTGTGCATGGTCATGATCTCGAATAGACATATGGATGCTGCGGGTGATAGACAGAAGATTCCTTGAAGAAATCATAGCCATACCTGTGATGTATACTGGCGTTAACAGTACACATCGAACGCCAGTATATGTCGCAGGTATGGCTATGAAAGTATACATCGCAGGTGTGGCTATATGAACAGTTCAGTTTTCTGTTTAGCTCCTTCACTTTGCTCCAATCTAGACTGTCTGCTGCACGCCTCTCACGCCTGTTCCAGCATGACCAGGAAAGAAAGAAAGCCCCTGCGAAAACGAGCACAAAGGAGCCGAACGAGGCTCCTGCATGTGACACTGGACGAGCTGGTGCCGGTGTACTCGGAGCCAGACGGTGGGAAACTTCGGTCAGGGAGGACCGTGACCCAGTTGCTGCATGACCTTGTAAGCTACACGAAGTCGCTCATGTCTCCTGTAAAGCACGTGAAGAAGGTATGGAGTTGTGTCTCGTTGAGTTGGGGAGCTGCTGACATCGTTGCCAGGAGCCGCGGACGACGAGAGAACCGGAGGCAGCACTGAGAAATGAGACCATCCGGCGAGGGATGTTGTCGTGCAGGACAGAAAGCATGCTGGTCTTCGACAGGAGCACTCTGCGGGTGGAAGATGCGAACGACGGCATGCTCCGCTTTCTAGGAAAGCTGCCTTTCAAGGGACCACAGGGCTACAGCCTCCTGCACCTCATCCACCCTATGGAGCAGGGGAGGATCACTGCCCTCCTCCGCATGCTGGATCATCAAGATGGAAGGTTCTGGATGGAGACAGAAATCCTGCGGTTCTCGGGGAACGGAGGGTTCTGTGGCAGCAGATGCTCGCTCTTCTGCTCAGCAGCAGATAGCAAGAGAGGCTTCATCTTCATAGAACCATGCACTTCTCTGTGCTTGCCCAGGTCTCCACCGCTGGGGGGAGGGAGCAGGCGAGGCGGTGACTTTGAGAGGTGTTTTCAGTTCGAGGAGATTTGCTCCTCGAGCTGCCCGCTAGAGATCTGCAGTCTGTTATCCTCTTCCTTAGGATCGACGTGTGTGGGATGGTACGGGACCATCGCCCATTTCCTCAGTCTCCACCAGAAATCAGATCTTGTCGATCAACTACTGCATGAGATGAAGATCATTCGACGATCCGGCGTCGTCCTTCGCATGATCCAGTTGTGGTGCCGGGTGACACACAGATCGAGCTCCGAGATTTCCTTGCAGATTTACTTCCGTCTGAAACTTCCCGTCCTCTTTGGCTCGCATGCAACAGACTGGCAGCTGGCTCTGGACATAAACTTCTCCAACAACTTCGCCATGGTAGCCGATGGGTCCTCAGGGTCCTTCACGGCATGGGAACTTGACTTTGACTGCTGCGATGATGAATTTCGAATCCTCGAGCTCAAGCTCAAGGAGAACGGCAATCGTCTCGAGTGCTGCCACAGCAGGTGCCCTTTCCCTTCGTGTACCTTCCTCCTTTCATTCTCTATCAGCAACTTTATCTCGTGAGATGTTGTGAGTATTTCCTAAACATTCGCGAGCAGGTTCCTGTATCTTTCACCCGACGAGTTCCACTACTCAGGATATATCCCCTCTTCTCAGGTCAGGCCTCTCTAAGTCGGCTATAACTTCTCACCCGATACCTCAGACGTTGGAGCCCAAAGATATGAAATTCCACCAGGTGTTCAGCAAGGTCTCCCAAGTACCTGAATGATCTGCGTGTGCTCGAGCTTCATTGCCATCCTCTCTTTTATTCTTTTGCACTGTGTTGATGTCTCAATACCTCACTGTAAAATAGATAAATCTGTCGATTGCTAAACAAACGTTTCCTCCACTTCAGAAGCACTTCCGATGTACCACGGCTTTCCCGCTGTCCTTGTACTCATCTATGCTGATCCACATTTGTTGGAACCTGGTCAGAGTCAGACAGGAGCCTACTTTGCTGCTAAACTCTCACGTGGTCAAGGAAGCGAGGATCGCTGCGCCAACAAACACGGAGTACTGACGCTCCTCTGGAGCGACAGTCTTGACCTGTTAAGAGATAGGCGGATGAGCCTCAGCCTGCCAGGACATTGTTTGGCTCAAACCTTCATTGTAGGAGGAGCCATGTTGGTGATCTCCTTCTGCATCCTTTCAGGCAAGCCTTTGTACATGGTTGTGCCGCCTACGGTCTCACATCAGAGTCACAGTGGCAGAGAAGCAAGCTAAACCTGAGATAACGATGTTGGAGTACAAGTCCTTCCTGATGTCGACATCGCACTTCATGATGCTGATAAGCAAGGTAAGGCGGCAGAGAATCATATGCCGCAGGAGAGACATCACCTATTGTAAGTCATTTCGTGGATCCCGCTGGCTTCTAGGCCGAGGACCTGGAAATTATAAGAATACCCCGCATGTTCCATTGCCTTGCGTACAGCCGGGTTGAACAAGGCTTCGGGGCACCGGAACCTCTCGTTTCCGATCGTGATGACCTGTAACACACGCATAAGATCCGCAGAAGTAGAGCAGCAATAGGGCTTGACCTGTCCATCGGGCATCTCATATGAGACTTCGCAATCATTAGAGGTTGCTGCTTTCTTCATCTCTTCTTCGAAATCCAGAGCAACCTGAAGTGCAATATGGGTGATCACACAAACCCTCGAGGCATGCAATCTCACATAACACAGCTTCTCTTTGATGTCCCTGGCAATTTCCTTCTCTGCGGATGTTGTGAAGCTGTATCCTCTGCAAGGTGGACCTCAACGATGAGTACAAGCATCGTCGCGATCAACCTCTCAGACAGCAGCTTGCACATGTATTCGGTAAGATCACGCCCAGCAAGGTCAAGCCTCAAGATTGCATGGGGGAGTGCGTATCCTTCATAGATAGGAACAGTGTGGGAGACACCGTCACCAGAGTCAAAGACCTGAACAAACATGCAAAACAAAATCAGAAAGCCTCACAATGGAGCAAAAAACATCACTCACGATGCCTGTTGTCCTCCCTGAGGAATAGAGGGACATCACTGCTTGTACTGCAACATAAAATGCAGGGACGTTGAAGGTCTCGAAGAAAATCTCGCACATCTGCAGGAGGACATCACCCGGGCTTGTCATGATGTCATGGCTGCTGATACCTTCTCGCGGTTGACCTTAGGGTTGAGCGGTGCCTCAGTGACTAGGATGGGATGCTCGTCGGGCAAGACGCGGAGCTCGTTGTAGATGGTATGTCTCCTGTCAGGGAGTAAGCAGGGGGGAGGCACGGCCAAGTGAGTCCCACCAGATCTTTTCCATATCATCCCAGTTGCTTACGACGCCATGCTACGCCGACGAGTCAGCCGAGCAGCTGTGAGGCTCTTCGCTCACCTCTATCGGGTATTTGAGCGTCAGGATGCCTCGCTTGCCCATCGCCTCGTCTCCGTAGTAGGCGTTGGATTGTCCGGCTCCCACCATCACCCCTGTGCAGTAGATGAGATGGGCAAGCAAGCAAGGGCACAACAACCTTTCTGCTTGGGCCTTCCAATCACATTGGGAAATACGACTCGAGGAGCTTCATCGTCTGCATATCCAGCTTTGATTCTCCCGGTTCCATTGTCGATGACCTTGAAAACGAAACAAATCAGGTTGGCAGACCTTATCTCTTGTATCCGCTTACCACTGGCCTTCCGACTTCTTCATTTTCACCTTCAGATTCAGATCCTGACATCTGCAAGAAGCAATCAGTATTCTTTTGCTCAGTATGGGACTTAGTTTTGCTGTTAGGTGAGTGAGGAATTTTATATTTTAGCTGAGGTATCGTTTCCATCGTCATAGCAAAATCTTGCGATGAAATGTCTTATAACGTTTGCTCCTGTACAATATCTACATGCATTCACTTGATTTTAGGCTGGATTTGGCAGGACGTATCATTTTGTAGAGTCATGCAAATAAATTGAATCGATTAATTCCCATCAAAGGAAAGCTGTGTTTAAATTTAAGCTTTCTCGCATTTGAGAATTGCTATTCAGCATGCCAGCATATCTTTCCTTCTGGAAGAATGATTATTGCCGTACCCATCTATCATTGCAGCAATCCATCAATTTGAAAATATTTCAATGGCTCTTGCCAACTCCTGAGACCTTTCAATCTCTCATGATATCTCCACGACTCTAGCTTTCATCATTCAAACTTCATCTCTCTCTTGTCTCTTCTCTCTCTCTCTACCTCTTTGTCGCTCTTCCCTCTCCCTCCCTCCTTTCTACCCTCCCTCCTCCTCCGCGTCACAGCGCTGACGTACGCATCTTCCCCGCCTTTCCCAACCCCCCCACCCCTCCACCCCCCCCAGGCTACACCACTCTAGCACTCTACCCCTGGCACTCTTCACTACCCCACCCTGTGATCGTTGGAAGTACGGCGGAACCAGGTATTTCTATCACTCCCACCCCTGGTAATCAACACTGATGAACCCCTACCATACCACCGTTGGTTAGCCCAAGCAGGAGCCCCATTGAAGGGCAGACTCGGGAGGTCCTAGGTGACCCCTGGTTAGCATGAGAGTACTACCGGTAGTGCCACAGGAACTACCCTGACTCAAACTTCTGATCAGTAGTGATGAGAAGACTGGTCAAACCTAGCGACATAACGGATTTTGTAACGGTTCAAGTGTTATCAGAAGTGGCGGTATAGGGCATCCGACCCGGCCTTCCCTAGCTAGTGACTTCAACTGGCAAGTTCAAGGCTTTCCTGTGAGATCTTGACTCAGTGAAAGCTCTCGGCCCTCCAGGCTCGCCGGGAGTCCTTTGTCCGGGTCCGAGTCCCGGTCCGATCCGGGCCGGGCCCAACTTGCAACGCGGCCCCGCTGCCAGGCTGCCCGGCGGCCGCTGGCCCGCGGCCCGGGGGGGTGGCTACCCGGTGACCCGTCGTCCGATCCGATCACGGTCTTTGACTCCGAACGTCAGTGAGTTGCAACGTGACTCTACACTGATCGGATACGTCAATATAGTTAGTTAGTAAGTCACTATCATTAATAACTGTACTCGCCCAGGCTACACCACTGGTGACCTCCCTCCGAGCCGGGAGCCCCCAGTGCGGCCTGAGCCTCGGAGCCTAACTCAGGCGCCCGTAACTTAGTGTAAGTCGCGTCCGGGGTCAAATCCCAAAAGAGCTGAGAGCCTCTGTAAGGAGTCCAAGCGGAGACTTTCGCTTCGTCTGCTCTTCCACCGCGATCTCAAGTTGCCGACGCTCCTGCAGCATCTTGCATCAGGACCACATAAGGACAATTTGAGGCAACTTGAAGATCACCAATGCGCAAATGGCAATGTGTTTTGCTAGTGTGGAGTTCTGCTTCTCAAGCGCCTCTGATTTCTTCTGCAGTTCCACTTCCTCATCTGATCTGCGGTGAGAACAACAAACAGTGAGCGGAAGAGAAGAGAAGAAGCTGCGCGGTACTTGGAACTTGGTGTGCCAGCAGAGCCTATCGGTGACGTTAGCAAAAAGTCAGCACAACCGTTCAGGTGTTACTCCGCGATGCCTCCAACGCGTGAGGATGAGGCAACTGTATCGACGACTTGTCCTGCCAAACGCGTTGAGAAGCGTTCAGGTCGGCGATAAGGACTGAAGACCTTTTCAGCACTCTCAATAGGGCTGAGGGTTGCGCGGAGAAGGGAAGTGTTGTTGTTATGAGCTGACAGAGCTCATGAGATATATCGCAAAGAGCGAGACACATGTACTTGGACTTGATCCTGAGCTCATCTTGCTCCTCTCGAGCTCCAAGCTGTAGAACAGGGTGAGGACACATAACATGCTGACCATCACATGGAGCAGTACGTCAAAAACTCAACTTGCTTGCGCAGTTTGCTCAGCTCTGTCAAAATGCAGCTTTAGAATTGACAGCTGCTGATTTGACGTTTTTTCCACACACCCATGCCATTTCGAGCATCAAACTCTCCCGAAGAAGAATGACGGTACTTGGACGACCTTGAGTCCCCGAGAACAGACACCTCTGCTAGACTTACCTCTTTGAGTGCAATGGCATTCTGATTTGAGACGAGTCGAGGTCAAAACCATCAGATACCGATGATATGATAATCTTTCAGTTTTCTGACCTTGATGCAATCTCTTTCAGCTTGTCTTGCTTTTTCCTTTTCAAACTTCAGCTCTGTAATTTGCTCTGAAAAACGAAATCTCTGTTGACAAGTTCAAAACCTGACTGAAGGCTTTCATTCTGTCGAAGCAAGTTTCCTATTTGAATGTCTTTTTCGTAGATTTCAACAGCATGGTCCTTAGAATCCTTGAAGAGCTACCCACAACAAAGATGATCACAGGTAAACGTACAATCAGGTGTTGCATCATTTGCACCTGCGACTCGAGTGCAGTTATCTTGATCTTAGACTCTCTCAATCTCATCTGGCACCTTCCATGCTCAAGGTACATGGCCACGAGCTGTCAAGAAATGTACCTCCAGCTCCTCTACAGCGTTCTTCAGCCCGAACGTTTCACAATCATGCTGAGCCTGAAGGGAGCAGGTAAGGGATAGATGCCGCGTTTTGCCAGCATAGCTCTCACTCTTGACTGCTGAAGCTTTTCTATATGAAGCTTTTCTCGTTCCTGCCCGTTGCATCACAAGGTAGGCGGAAAGCAAACGGCCTTAGCACCTGACTTTCCAGGAGGGCAATGTTCGTGTCTTGAAGATCCCTTTTCAGCTCGTGGATTTTTCTGGAGAAAAGTGAAATTCTGAATAGCTCAGAACGAGTGTTTGTTCCCACTTTCGCATGCTTTCTACGACGGTCGTGGTGGATTGGAGATATTCCTCTGCACACAAGAATTCACGTCCACGGACTGGGACCTTGGAGCTCTAACCGGTGGAAATACCGTCAGCACTCGCCTCCACATGCCCGTGCCCTGTTGCTTGCTGTAAACAACGACAAGTCTGCCAGCGAAAACCGAAAGGAGTCAACCAGTGAGGGAAGAGGAGTTGGTTGAGATGTCGATATATTCTCGGGTAAGCTGGCAGCTCTTCAAGTTAGCGATGGGCGAGGAAGACGAGCACATCCGAGAAGGAGAAGGGGTCAGAGATCGTACTCGGAATGTCAGGACTTGATGTTGCCTGAGAACATCCAGCTTGACGCTTGTCCTGCGAGAGACCACCGTCAGACACATCGCAACCATAGTGAGAATGTTGAAACTCTGCCCTCTCGGCCCACAGATGAAGCTTGTGACTTGCTCGCAATCCATCGTCTTTCTCAAGAATGAGCAGCTGATCGTCCCTTCCGAACACGATCTCAACGAACCTTAGCATCTCTTTCTTGAACTTTCAACAACTTGTCCCCCGCCTGTACTCCCGCCTTCGCTGCAGGCCCATCCTGTGAAGCAACTCATCCTACAGTATCACAAGGGAGAGTCAAGCCTCGCGAACGCTATGCACGACCAGGACGCCATCCTCGTTGTACTTGAGGCGGACGCCGATCCCGCACGATTCTTGGTGGATGTGTCAGGTCAGATCGCTTCGACGTAACAACTTTACAGGAACACCTGCTGTTAGATCCATTTCTGCTGACTCGCAAGGCAGCGAGACCTTTTGAGTGGCCTGCATTGTATCAGCATGTCCGAGTGTTTCTGTATGCTTGCAGTGGCTTGAAACCGGAATTGGGAATTGATCTCGCAGTTCTCATCCTCTTGCCCGCCATATTTTTTCACATCTCAACCACACTCTATCACCGTAAACGATATCATTATGGGCGAGTGTCTCCTGCGAGATCATCTCGCCTCTTCTAACATCATTTGCCTTACTAAAGGTTGACCCCAACAACAACGGAACTCCTGCTCCTTCGATCGTCATCTGTCCTCAGGTCTGTCAGGCAAGCAGGTCTCAGTCCAGTCTTGAGCATCACGCTACTGGCTAGGGCTAGGACTGAGTAGCTCCGAGAGTCTGTCACGGTCGGCATGACTACTTTGACAGGTTCGGAAGTTCCAAATCGGTGCCACCATGGCCCGGGGCCCCGGGGCGCTCCGGTTGGTTCGAGTTTTCTCTTTCAGGGTAGGGTGGGTAGAAAGGTAGGGTGGAGAGTGTAAATGCTTTCAAAATGACCGGTACTTTGATATTTATAATGTGGTAAAAGCACCGGTGAATTAATAATAAGAAGGGTAGTGAGGACAGAAGGGTAGTAGCGTGAAAATGCAGCGCTGGGCTGTTTTTATGGCGATGCTGGCGATGGGAGGGACCGAAGTCTCTTGCTTCCTGACCTCCCCATCCTCCTCCCTTCTTGCCTATCATCCTGCCAGTATCTCCTCCTCCTCCTCCTTCTCCACCGCTCTGTTATCTCCCTCCCCATTCTCAGTGAAAGCTGGGTCTTTGACCCACAAACCCGCTAGCTACCGGACTGCACTGCAGGTCGCCCCTCTGGAGTCAATCGAGGAGGCTCAATGCACCTCTCCTACATCCAGTGCATCGAAGAAGAGGGAGGAGGAGCTGCAGAAGCTTCAAAGGAACTCCTTCATTCTGGGATCTGTCATCATCACTACGTCGGCCGCCATATACTATGGGTCCAACCACGAGGCCGTCGCGGTGGATCTTACTTTATGTGCAGCATGTCAAGATGGTTACACGTTGAATCTGCAGATTTCTTCTCCCCTCTTCAAAGTTGGCTGCGCCATCTTCTTCCTCGGTGTGACCCTCCAATACGCTGAGACGTACAACAGGTATGATCTAAGTTTCCATGTATCATTGCCTTACAGTGTGCAGGTGCGCATACATCAGGTTTGCGCGCGAGACCCTTATCAATCCTTCTAGCGTTGGTCGACGAGCAAGGTGCTCCTCTCCGGACGCACCCTCCTCCTCGTTGATCCTGATCTCCGTGCAGGCGCGTGCTCAGACTAGTAGATGGCAACATCTTCAGATTCCTTCTGCCAGGAAGAAGGTGAAACATGTTCCTCCTCCTCCTCCCCATATACTCCTCTCTCTCCCTCTCCTTCTGCTATCCCCTCGTGTATCACTCAAAAAGCACTCCACCTCTCCCCCGACCACCACCGAAACGCTCAACACAAAATTCTTCTCGAATCCCTACTCTACGATATTTCATCTGACGACTTTCATTCCTCAGCTACGATGTTATCAACGGGGTTCCCGTCCTGAGAAATAAAGACAAGTGATTTTCCTGCGAAACCAGTTCTTGCTGCTTCCATGTGCGATTGCTATGAACCTGGCTCGTGTTGCAACTTTTCTGCTTTCCTTGAATGCTGTACAACTCCCCCCCCCCTTCTCCCCCAAAACGCTGTCCTCCCCCTTTGTATGCTGTACAAGTTCCCTGCAGCCTGTGCAACTTCCTCTGCAGGGAACTTGCTCTGTTCTTGTCATCTCTGCTCCTTCAGCGTTCTTTCAGCGACGCCACATGCTGACCATGGCCCCCTCGGCTTCACCCCAGCTTCCGCAAGTCGGAAGACAAGCTCGAGGGAGGGAAGTAGTCGATCTAGTCCTGCTCACCAAACAAGTCCCAGTTGGTCACTCTCAGATCTCTGACCATGTCTTCCATCAATCGCATGTTGTGCTCGTGCTCGCTGATCGTCTGGTGAAGCTGTTAGCTGCCAGGGCAAGACAACTTGTGAAAGATGCCTCGTCCAAACTTTTGGTTCCAGGAGGATCTTTGGTTGTGATGTGTAAAATGATGGAAAGGTCGGTCTGCAATATGAGTCACTAGCTTCTTGCATGCGGGCCAGGAGAACGACAACCTGCATATTTGGCAGACGGGCTACAAACACGCATGTCATGATATGGTCTCGTCCTGCATTACTGTCAAACATCGTCAGTTCCGTCACATGGACAAATTTCTCGTCACTTGAACTTGGCGATGCTCTGCGTTCCAGCTAACAACTGCAACAGCTAATCATCTGCTGAAGGAGCAACAGTGCGGCACAAAACCCAGTAGGTGACCCAGGAAGGAGGACAGCGCAGGTCGCTGGATAGGAGAGGGAGCTTGTTCATAAGTGAGTGGCAAGTAGTGGACAATCTCAGTCTACTCTGCACCTCTTGATGCTTCAGATTGCGAGTTGCAATGATGCGGACGTCAGTGGCGTTGTCTGCTTCTGCAAGCTCGCGGAACAGTTTTGCTGCAGGATGGGCAAGGTTTCAAGGATACAGTTTCAAGAAGGTTTTTGAGGTTTCAAAGGTGGGTAGATGATTTGGAGGTTGGGATGGCTGTTTGCAAGAGCATGCCAGAATCGACATAAATCACCTGCAATTTCGCTATTATCTGTTGCTTCGTCATACTCCAGTAGTTCTACAATCACGCTCCTTTCTGCGTTTCTGTCCACCCATACCTGAGTTTGCAGGATGTCAAACACAGAGCAGAACGGGAGAGGCTGATGTGATATGGAGTGTGGGACATGCGAGAGGAGGTAAGCAGAAGCAACAAACTCGTGTAGAGGTGATGAAGGGACGTTACTCCGCATGCGATTGGGAACGCGAGGACTACAAGTGTACAGCCTCTCAAGATTCTCCTCTCCTCCTCATCATACGCATTCAGAGCACACTGAATCCTCTGGCAAGGAGGGGAGCGAGCAGCTAGGAGGATGAGGATAAGGAGTGGGAGGGGACCTCCTGGAAGTCCGGTACGTGACGGAATCGGCTGATGTCGTCGAAGGTAGCAGGTAGCTTCATTCTGATGGCACCACCATACAGCTCCCTCTCCGTCAGCTCCTCCTTTCGGCCCCCATGCTCTCCTCCTCCTCTTAGCCCCATCACGCTCGTGGAGGCCCTGCATGCCCCGCCGGGCCTCGCGCTGCCGAGAAACACGTCGGGATGCAAGGATACCGCATTCCTGGCTACCAGTAGGATGAGCAACCAGCAGGAAACGCTTCGCACCATCATTGGCAGCCCTGAGGACAGCAGAGTCACACGATGCCGTGATCGAATAGTCGTCGTGACCCGCTTCGCCCCTCCGCCTACCCCCTGTCGCCTCCGAACTGCTCCCGCTCCTCTAACACTCCATCCTCGCTACCTCTGCAGTCCGAGACATGGAACCAGGATCTCGACGAGCAAGGGATACAACAACGAGGGCATCGGGATCCTCGATCTTCTCCTCTCCTCTCCACTTCGATCCTCGTCGCTATCTCCTCTCATCTGCTCGGAATCCCCATAAAACTTCGCTGGAATTGCCTGGCGAGCTCGCCTCGACGACTCGATGTCGTGATGGAAGGAGGTGGATGAAGGAGAGGAGAGGGAGGGAGGACAGAGGGAGGGAGGACGGGAGTGAGAGAAGGGAAGGGTCGCAGGGGATGAGAGGAGATAGGAGGGTGCGGGTTGTGGAAGGCAGGAGAGAGGAAGGAAGGGGGGAGGGGGGAGGGGGAAGGGGGGAGAGGGTTTAGGTACTTTCTCAATCCTCCAACAGAGATACATGCGACATGCTGGCAGAAGCTCTGACCATGCTGGACGCAGCGCTGTAGAGGAGCATGTTGTACTCGGAACCGTGACCATTTGGATGTTTTCCTTGATAAGTGGCCTTTGCCAATCTTACTTGGAAAAGAAACAGTACCACCTGCTCCTGCTCGGTATAGTCCAGCTCGTCAACCCCCTTGTAACAAGCCTTCAGGTCTTGATGGGTCGGGAAAGACCTCTCTGCTAGAACGCATTCGCTTCGAGGCCTCCAAGACAAGTAGGAGGCGCTGTCGACCATGATGGAGGAATGATTTGCGCACGAGCAGGCAGCAGCGAGAAGCGAACAGAGCAGGAGCTGCAGCTAAGTCTGCAGAAGATTTCCTCCACGGTAAGGCTGGACCACATTCCTTTGCTGGCTTTATGACATGCTGGTCAGGTCGGGCTGAATATAGGAAGGATCACTCTGAAGAGTGCCAATGTGATGGTATGAAGTTTCTTGGCTTCATTGTTTATTTGTCGTTCTTGTTCTTTCCTTGTTCTTTCCTTGTTCTTTCCTTGTTCTTTCCTTGTTCTTTCCTTGTTCTTTCCTTGTTCTTTCCTTGTTCTTTCCTTGTTCTTTCCTTGTTCTTTCCTTGTTCTTTCCTCCTCCTCATTCTCCCTCGTCCATCGATTGATGATGTTCCTTCCACATTCCTTGCTTTCATCGTCGTCATCGTTGATGCAATCGCAATATCGTCATCGTCATCGTCATCGTCATCGTCATCGTCATCGTCATCGCCATCGTCATCGTCATCGTCATCGTCATCACCACCACCATCACCATCATCATTATCGTAGTGTTCATAATTATCTCACCCATCATCATCTTTCACCTCGTCCTCGTTTTCAGTTTCTTCTCTCCAGCGTCGCTCAGTAACCTCGCAGATTTGGGATCTCGGAGGACAAGAGGCCCTGCGGGGCATTTGGGACAAGTACTATTCTGGTAGGAGAGAACCTCCCTCCTGCTCCCTGCTCCAATTCTTGCTACCTGCTACCTGTCCTCTCATGATTTGCCTGAAGACGCTCATGGTCTCGTGTGGGTCGTCGATGCCTCAGACCCCTCCAGATTCGAGGAGGTGAAGGATGGGAGGAGAAGGAAAGCTGCTGAATCTGCGCAGGCGCTGCAGACATTGGAGGGTCTGCTGGAAGAGCCTGAGTTACAGGACGTACCCCTCCTCATCTTCGTGAACAAGCAGGACAAGGCACTTAAAATCTTTTCTTTTTCCTGGCCCTGACCTCCTCCTGCTTCTCCTCTCTCCCTCTCGTCCGTACCCTCTTGCTTCTCTACTCCTTCCCGTCCTTCCCTGCTGAAACTCCTTCTTCTCTTGTCCTTCTCACCTCTTTGAGCAGCAAGGCGCTGTCAAGCTTGATGAAATCCGCCAGAAAGCGCTTCCTCAGTCAGGGACTCTCATGCACCAGCGCCAGGTCCTCTCTCCTTTGTGCTATCATCCTACTCAGCATCCTATCTTGAGAGACTGTCTCTTCCTCCTTCCTTCCCCAGCTCTCTTTCCCTTCCTCCCAACGGCTGCAGGCGATGGTTCCCGCTCTTCCATCCGCCTCCAGGCCTCTCCAACCATCGCTCTCGCCCCCTTTCACCTTCCCCGCTTCCCCTTTCTTATACCTTCTTGTCCTCCTCCTCGTCCCTACCTGTAGATACCATTTATCTTCCACAGCTCTCCTCCCTTGTTCCTCGCAAGCCTCGCTGATCCTGTCTCGTATCTGTTTCCTCCAGCTCCGCATTATCTCTGTTTCGGCATTCCAGGCTTGCTCCGGCTCGGAGGAGACCGTCATGGACGGGATGAACTGGATGATCGACAGTCTCAACAAACAGCCCAACTTTGAGCATCGACGCTAGTGCAGCTACTCAAGGCTTTCGATACTTGTAATGAACATCCTCAAAAAACGTCCCCCCTCTCTCGCTCCGAACCTTTCTCTGTCTCTTCCTTCCGCTCCAGCTGCTGCCGCCATTAGTGCTGCTGCCGTTGAACTGTACCGCACTAGCTCAATCTGCTGCCCCTTGTCCCTTCCTTTCCCTTCCCTAGTGCTGCTCCCTTCAATTGCTCTTAACGCCTGCCTCGCTATCGTCTCTTCACCCCATCCCCAGCTCTCGCCCTCACATGATCCGGAAGGAGATGGTCAACCCCTTGCCCTTGGGGACCGCATGAGGTTTGGCAACATGCCTGGGAGGAACAGCGATGACCGTTGCTTTCTGATCAGATTCTGCTGAAGTTGGGGAGGAGGAGGAGGAGGAGGAGGAGGAGGAGGAGGAGGAGGAGGAGGAAGGGAGTGACTTGAAACATATAAGGGGAATCTCATCGCGTTCTTTCACGGGGATTCGCTGGAACCTCAGGAAGTGCTTGAGCCTCTCGTCCTTTCCCACCCCCTTGGGGAAAAACCTGAGGGAACTAGTCAGGGAGAGAAAGTTGACCCTTTTCCTTCTCTTCGTCTCTTTCTGAAAAATGCTCCTTACTATCCACCACTTTATCCTCCTATCCTTAATCTGTAAAGCCCCCCCCCCCTCCACACCCACCCACCCAAACTCCCTCCCGACTTCGCCTCCCGCCTCATGCTCCTACCTGTCGCCTGCCAACTTCGTCCTCACTATCATTTGGGACCCAGCAGGGACGTTATGGATCGTAAAGCACACATCCTCTGGCAGCACTCTCCGCTTTCCCTCCACAGGAGGAGGAGGCTTCTGCCCTGCTGTCACCATGACGCTCCACGGGCCGTCGACCTCGACGCCGACGTTCACGTCGCCCAGTATGTCAACGCTCCCGTTCGGCAACTCTCCTTCCTCCCTATCCACCATGAGCAAGGGCCCCGACCGCAGAACCTGCCATCCCTTGCCCAAGTCCAAAGACCAATTGAGATTGTTAGGATGCTCCTCGAGCTGCTGGGCGATCTTGAGGAGCTGGGTGTAGCTCAGGATGAGGTCTGAGGCCTCGGAGCTAATGAACTGGTGGATGACCGAGTTGCGAAGGAGCTCCCTGCTCTCCGCGTAGAAGAAATCGAGGGGGAGGGTGCGCTTGTCAAACCTGCGCCCGAACTTGATAGCAGGAGTTACTTCCTCCATCCACTGCTGCAGCTGCATGCTCTGATGGCTCAGCCCGTTCATTCGAGAAGCTAGCGCGTGCTTCCCTCCACAGAGATCCTGCAGGAGGGGAATCAGTTGTATCCTGACCTTGTTCCTCTTGTACGTGGACTCGTGATTCGACGAATCCTCCCTCCAGTCCTGCTGCAAGTCCTTGAGGTACCGAACCAGCTCCTGCTTGGAGATGTCGAGCAGCGGCCGGAGCATGGGAGGGTCAAGATCGTCCTTGTACTTCATCCCATGAAGCTTGCTAATGTGAGCTCCTCTCAGCAGCTTCATCAGAATAGTTTCCAGCTGGTCGTCGGAATGGTGCGCAGAGACGAGATAGACTTTGGTGTCAGGACGGCTCTGCTCCTTGATCTTCGCAGCCACTTCCCCCATCACCTTCCTCCTCCAAATCCTCGTGTACTCCTGCATCCCACCAGAGTTCTCTCTGAACCTTGCCGCATCGGCCTCGTCAAGCGCTTGCATGTAGAACGGCATCCCCCTGTCCCTCGCCAGCCCTTCAACAAACTTCGCCTCCTCCTTGGACTCTGCCCGCAGGCCATGATCAAAGTGGACCACGTTGATCGACAGCTGCCCCTCCTCGCCCCCCTCATGCTCCTGCCTCACCTCATCCAGCAGCAGCATGAGCGCCGTCGAGTCCGACCCCCCACTCACTCCCACCACGAGCGACGCAGGGAGCTGCATGCCGCAGCGACCCTCCAGCGTCTGCATCACCTTGCGACCCAGAGGGGAGATCTTACTCCCTCCCTGCGGTAAAGACGCCCCCCTTGACAGGAAACGGGCGCATTTGTGCCTCTTCCTCAGCAAGGAGATGCTTGGCAGAACAAGAGATCTGAGCCCAATGCTCCTCGGGATGGCGGAGTAGCAGAAGGCGCTGGAGCAGAGGAGGAGGGTGTTCATGCTGGCCGGCGTCACGCGTCGGATGCTGTGCATGACGTGAGCCGGAGCGTTGGGGAGGGAGGCTGGTGGAGAGGAGGGAGGAGGAAAGATGGGGAGAGTGAGAAACGAGCAAGGGAAAAGTCTGCCTCAGTTGAAATGTTAGCAGAAAACAAAAGACAGTAAAATTACCTACGTTGTTCGGTCTGTTTTTAGCATGCTGGCATCACCAGAATAGCTAGGGGTGAAAAAGGGTAGACTATGATGGCAGGAGACGAGGAGGAAGAGGAAGAGTAAGATCCTGCATGTCAGAGAACATGGGATCATGGTGTGCTAACAGAATGAGTGTCGAATGTTTGGTGTTAGAAACATGTCCTGTTCGTGAGGCCATGTGATTCCTTCTGCTGTACAAGAGTATTTCGATTCACCTCAGGTTAATCAACTCAGCTTCACTTATGAGACATTCTCGAGCATGCGGCATTTGCATCTTGTTGCTCACTGCACTCATTGTATTGCAGCGGATCAGCAGCGTTTTGATTGCATGGATGCCATACAATAGCCGAGACGATGATGCAGTAGCGTCATGCTCAGGCGTCAGTGAGGTACATCATTGTCTGTAAAGTCGCTGTTGAGGAGGAGGTATGACACATACATCAAGATCACAGGAGTGGAACTGGGAAGTTTGCAAGGCGGGGATACGTTTGATGATGCACTGAGGTAAGCGAGGACGATGGCTGTGAGCTGGAAATGGCTTATCCCAAGAGGAGGACGAGGAGGACGAGGAGGAGGACGAGGACGAGGAGGAGGACGAGAGCGAGTAGGAGGAGTAGGAGGAGGAGGAGGAGGAGGTGGTGGTGGTTCAAGGCCATCAGCTCATTATAGGTCTTTCAGGTCTCATGCAAGCAACCTGAAAGGAAGCACAATCGTCTTGCAAGGGATTCTGATAGGAGCGCTTGTTGTGGTGATACTGACCCCGTTTCATCTCTCCATGCTTCTCATTTGGTCGTTTCCTGCAAGGTTGGTGTGTTTGGAATCCATTGGATGGTGGTAGCAGCGACAAGGTCATCTTTGCTCTGCATGCTATAATGCTGCAATTTGATATCTCTCACAGAAGCCCGAAAGTGGTTAAGAGTGTCAAACATCACTGGGAGGGATCGGCAACCGTCTCCAACAATGTTCGACTTGAGGTGAATCCGCAGACGAGATCGTTTAGGCGAGATGATGATTTCTTTTCAAACAAGAGAAGAAGATAAGAGACATTGATGATTTCTCGTGATGCTGAGATATCAGGTGGAGAGAAACTGGCTGCATGGAAAGCGAACAAGAGACTATGAAGGTATTCTGATAAACTTGATAAGCATTTTGATGAAGACGATGACAAGCACGACGATGGTGTTACTGCTACTGTCGCTAGTCCCGCTAGTCCCGCTAGTCCCGCTAGTGCTGGTTTTAGTGATTGGGAAGGGCATGAAGCGGATCTGTTTAGTTTTGACCGTGATGCAGAGATGATGTGGTGCGACCTTTGTATTTTCTTCGATATGACTGTATGGACAGACTCGCCTGTTTCTTCACAAATCACATCCATCTCTCCATCGGATTTTCGCGAGGTTTTCAGATCCTACTGCCTCCTCTCCTACTGCTCACTCCAGCGACCGCAGGCCATGAAACGCATCCATCTCCATGCTGAGAGCAAACGAGCCGCTTCATCGGGCAGACCCTCCAGCGGCAGGTAAGCCTGTCTAGTTGGTTTCCCGTCTCCTGTACCTTCACTGAACTATTCCTTCTTTGCCAGGCTCAACCTCGGCTGAACTTACTGAGAAAAGCTGCCGCCAAGTGTTAGATGATTCAATGATTCAGTTTAACTTTGTGCTCCCACAAACAGAATGAATGAGGCCTCCGAGCCTCCTTGAACGGAATGTCAACGGGTCGCCCGGTGACCACCGCCGACGCCCGGGCGGCCGCCGCCCGGCCGGGCGAGTCGGACCGTACTGTACTGTACGAGTCCGGTGCCCCGGCCCGGATCGGATGGCCCCATGGCCCTCCGATCCCCTCAGTGGCGACGGGCCCGGCCTGGCGACCTGCCTGGCGACTGCCGGCTAGGGGAAGCTAGGGGATGAGGGGCCATTGCTGTATGAGGGTTTCATCGAAGGACAGGTCAGAGGCTCTCTGAAGACTGAGCGATAGGGTAGGGGTGGGCAGGTACAGACAGGCAGTACCCCTGTCATAGAACACTGCAATTGAAATGTAGGGTGGGTACTCCAAACAATTGGGTAGCACAAGAGATTTATGGCGTGAATCTTGAAATCATTTTGGATAAAGAGTTAAGTTTATGGTGAAAACTTCAAATAGTTTCCAAACTTCAGCCTCTCCCTTTGTGCAACCGGTGGTGGGTGGTAATCAACAATAGGGGGTTCTGTATAAACTTGATGGGGTGGTGGGTAGAGAGAAGGAAGCAGGAGGATGTGGGGTAGGGGGTACCAGAGACGAGAATTCAAACGAAAAAAGAAAAGTATCCAAGTTGTCCTCTATGGAATTATCGGGTGGGTGACAAGGTTAAACATTTGTGCAATATCTTGAAATTTAATTTATCTGTTTGAAATATAAAAGCAGTTTTGGGACTCAATATTCAATTTGATCAAATTGTGGGTGGGGTGGCAAGTCAGAATTTTTCTCTTTCGGTTGATCAAGGAAAGCGGGAACGAGGAGACGAGAGCAGGCAGAAAAGGGAGCAAGGAGAGGAGCAAGAGGTACCAGCGAGGGAGAGCAGGAGGCAAGTATAGGCAGAGGAAGGGAAGTAGAAAGTGTTTGAGCAGAGACTTTGGACATATTGCTGCTCACTTCTCAAAGATTCAGGAAGCATACCAAACCACTGTCTGACTCTGATTCTGCAAGCAGCAGGAGGCGTTGTGTTGCGAAAAAGAGGGTGGGAACAGTACAAGCTCGTCAGCGGAGCAGCGGTTCACATAAGACTTCAGGTTACATCAGAGAGGATAGTAATCTTTGGGCACTCCAAGATTTCTAGTGCAAGGACTGCTCAATACCCAAGGGTTGAAGGGGTTGAAAACGTCTAGCCTGCCTCCGTCCCCTTCGAATTGATTCAACATGAAGCTCAAGAGATTTCTACTTCGTTACTATCCTCCTGGTATTATTCTTGAATACGAGACTAACGCAGAGCTGAAACAGAAGACCATCGACTTGCTCGATCTCACGGTTGAGACTGACGTGGAGGTCTTGCTCAATCGCATTGTGCGTCAAGAACCCTTGATCACTGAATCAAAACGCCCGCATGTCAGAAAGCTTCTTTACAAACTCATCGAAAAACAAGACTGCCAGGAGAGTCAGCAGTTCTATCTCTTCAAAATTCTTCGAGCCCACATTCTTCCTTTGACTAATTGTGCATTCAACAAGAACGGGGACAAGTTCATTACGGGATCCTACGACAGAACCTGCAAAGTCTGGAACACCCTGACTGGTGAGGAGCTTCTCACACTGGAAGGCCACAAGAATGTCGTTTACGCCATTGCATTCAACAATCCTTATGGCGACAAAGTGATCACGGGTTCTTTTGACAAGACTTGCAAAGTATGGAACTCAGAGACTGGGGAGCTGTACCACACATTGAGAGGTCATGCCACGGAGATCGTCTGCTTGTCCTTCAATCCTCAGGGCTCCATCATCTCCACAGGGTCCATGGACAACACAGCAAAGTTATGGGATACCGAGACTGGCGTAGAGCTCTGCACGCTGATTGGACATACGGCAGAGATTGTCAGTTTGAGTTTCAACCAGACAGGAGACAAGCTCATCACTGGTTCTTTTGATCACACGACAAAACTGTGGGATGTGAGGTCGGGTCGTTGCATCCACACCTTCCAGGGTCATAGAGGAGAAATCTCCAGCTGCCAGTTCGATTGGGAGGGAGGCAAGTGCATCACCGGGTCCATTGATCGCACGTGCAAACTTTGGGATGTGAAGTCAGGGCAGTGCATCAATACCTTGCGAGGTCACAGCGACGAGATCCTCGATGTCTCCTTCAACGCCACCGGAAGCCGACTGGTGACGGCGTCAGCGGACGGGACAGCGCGAGTATACAACACCATGACTGGCGCGTGCGTGTCCATCCTTGTCGGGCACGAAGGGGAGATCTCAAAGGTGTGCTTCAATCCGCAAGGAACCAAGATCATCACGGCGAGCAGTGACAAGACCTGCCACATCTGGTCGAGCGATACCGGGGAGTGCCTGCAGATCCTAGAAGGACATATAGACGAGATCTTCTCCTGCGCGTTCAACTACGAGGGTGACACCATCATCACTGGGTCCAAGGATAACACGTGCCGCATTTGGAAGTGCTAGCGCAGATGCTCTGCCTCATCTTCCCTTGTTTTGCAGGGACACAAGCGATCAGAATAAAAGATGCACCTCAAGCGGCGTGATGCTCCTCCTGTTCATTATTTCTGTCCTCCTGGCTAGTTTACACTCTCACTCTCTCTGGCCCTCTGCTTCTCTTTCTCCTCCTTCTGGTTGAGTTTATCTTGAAGAACTTGGTTCAGACCATCCACGCGCGTCCGTGAGGCGAGGATGGTTGGATGAGCTCCTGTCTCTCGAGGCTTCTTCACATACTCCTCCACTTGCTCCCAAGGGATCAGGGCTGGACGACAGTGAGACCGAGAGACCACGGGGGAGACGAGGAGAGGAACGAGCAAGGGACGGTGGAGGAGACTAGCACAGCATGCAAGTACCAGGTCCTGAGAAGAATCCGCGCTGCGCCCTGCCGCATCCCTCGATGTTGTAGAAGCTGAATCTGGGCGGAAGTGTTGAGCGGCGAGCAAAGGACGATGATGTTCTCACCCGTATTTGCGGAGGAAGCGGATCGATTTCAAGCTGTCTTGAATCTCTTGCTCCCTGCTGGAGGGTAAGAGGCCCAGGCGGCTTGCTCTCGGTTTCCTCTCACCTCCCGTCCTCATCATCTTTGAGGAAGTACATCATGAAAACAACGTTCTTGACCTTGCCCTCACTGTCCTCATCAGCACGAGTCTCCCTCCTCTCTTCCTCTTCCTCTTCCTCCCTCTCTTCCTCCCTCTCTTCCTCCCCCTCTTCCTCTTCCTCTTGTTCTCTTCCTTCCTGCCCTCCACTCACTCAAAGAGTCTCTTCGCCCCGAGAAAGGCCTTGTACTCGTCTCCCTGGAGCAAGAGACGGATCAGACCAGCTCTCTCCCACCTTAAGGTTACCAACCTGACTTGTGACGTGCAGCAGCTCTACCTCCTCCATCTCTATGTCGTCCAGCGCTATCGTCTTGACCTGCTCTGCATCTCACTCCTCCTCGTCCTACCCTTCCACTCGCTAACCATCGCTGAGTACGTTGCTCCTGCCTGCTGCGTTGGGAGGGTTGACGCTAAGTTCCTGGGCTGCGTCTGCACAGGGAGGCGATCGCCCGAGGAGGAGGCGACGAGGGAGTGATGGACTTTGACCCGACCAGCGAAGGAGCGCAAGGCGGAGGAGTCGAAGCACGAGGAGGAGGAAGAAATCCGCCCATCAGGAGCGCTGGACCTCAGGCAGTTGCGGAAAGAGTTGAGGCAGATACTCTCGTTGAGCCTCTGCAGCAGCTTCAACAATCTTCCTCCTCCACTTCCTCTTGCTCCTTCTCCTCCTCCTCCTCCTCCTCC